CTTTGTTCAAGAGAAAACAGTTTGAGAGATTTCAACCTCTTGTCGTATGACAACCCCTCCATCTCAGGCACCATTCTAGTAACCTTCCTCTGAACCCTTTCGAACAATTCAATGTCCTGCCTGAGGTTCCCAAGACAATATTCCAAATATGGCCTAACCAGTGACCTGTACAATGAAAGTATAACCTCTTTAGACTTATATTCAATATTTCTATAGGTATAACCTAAAATCCTATTTGCTCAACCACTAGCAACAGCACATTACTTGGATGGCTTTAGAGACTGATCGACTATTACAAGATCCCTTTCCTTCATAACACTATTGAGGTTATTCCCATCCAATCACATTAGCCCTTTTAGTTCAACGATGAGTATGGTAATAATGAAACAGTCCAAGATTTATTTCCAGGGATAACCCTTGTTTATAAATGACTAGAATAATTATTATACATTCAAAAGTGGAAACATATTCTGTATTGTGTGAAATATGACCATACTACATCGGTAATTTAAATCATCTTCTCGTCAGAAGAAGTGGAGAACATTGTTCTTAGTCACTTTAATGCTGTGAAGAAAGTTCTGTACGTCCATGATGATAAAATCTTTAGTCATTAAGCCACACACCCATAAGTTGACATAAAAACCCCTTTTGGCTAAATGACAATAAAAAAGCTTAAAGTAAACAAACATAGCTAACAGGAATCGTCTAAATATAATGATAATTTCTGTAATGTAGCCGAAAGTTTGTTGGATTATAAAAAAAAATACACTTGAAGAATATTTTGGATAACTTTTTACTTAGTTAAATCTTCTTTAAAACTCCATGAGCTCTTTTTTGACGTCGTTTTGAATGCACTCAACTATTTTTACACCCCTACTACAAGCACGAGGGGGGGGGGGTATCAGCTGTTAGTTAGGGATTAGCCTACGATGGACTGGAATACAGTCCACGAAGAATGTGTCCCCATTTTCATCTGCGTGTGCCAATTAAGTGGGAATTCAGCACCGGATCCTATGTGCCAACTCAGCATGAGAGAGATTTGACTTTTTTTTAAATTCAAGCACAAAGTGCGCGAGAACAAAGTGTTAATAGTGAATTAGTGAACACAAAATACAGATAAAATATTTAGGGTATGTCGTGAATTTTCATTCGGTGTGGCATGTAAGTATACCATGTGTTTCTTTTGTGTCCTATTATAGGCAAATGAACGTTTAAAATTCACATACAAATTTTCAAGTTTTTTTTTCATACATACTTGCATTTGGGTGGATGTACGTTTGAAAATAAAGAACTCTCCATAGAATGTAACTAGCTGGTTAGTGCTCAAATTACTCATTGTTAAGGGTCAATTCTTCGAGATATTGTTGAACTCTCCCATAGAATGTAACTAGCTGGTTAGTGCTCAAATTACTCATTGTTAAGGGTCAATTCTTCGAGATATTGTTGAACTCTCTCACGAAAGATGTCAATGGATAACTATGTGATTTAATATCATGTAGTACTGCATTGAAATCAACTATGTACAGATTTGACAGTAACTGGAAGGTACGCCCTCTCTATTTTTAGCTTGTAAAACGACAAGACGCATCGTGGGTAGTTGCATGCACTCTGGAAGACACAGCAATGCTGTTTTCCTTGTATAGTGATGTATTCTGTCGGTCTGTTCCATAATTTTTTGTGTCATAGGTCTCTTTCCAGACATAGAGAGAAGTGTGCGTGTCTTTCGTCTCCGTTAATTGTATATTTTTTGTTCGTGTCTTACATATTAAATAAATTATTTTTGTTCTGCTGTTTCTACATTGTATTCAATCTCCTTCTTCAATTCTGACAAATTAAGTATATTAGATAGAATATTTTTTGGGCCGTTTCTTCCATTATTTTTACGCATAATCAATGTATCTAAGAATAGCACAGTTGTGTTAATTCTTATGGCGTTTTCCGGAGTTCATATAATTAACTTTATTACAACCATATAGTTATTTAAACATGCTTTACTTTATTGCTATGTAGAAATAGAGACTCTTTTTGTTCACCTTGGAACATGTTCAAAAGATTTATGGCCTTAAATACCTTTGCAAAAGCTTTATCAAATTCCTGTTCGCCGATTAATAGATATATCTATCTAAATATACAGATATTTATGCATTTAAGTTTTCTGTTGGCCCAAAATTTTGGTGGAGACAAAGTTACAAACCAGGAGTCTTAGTTGTTGAATTTCGCGTAAAGTTACTAGAGATTTTTTTTCTGTACTAGACAGCCATTGTTTTGAAGTTATAAACTCAATTTGTGGGTTACTCTTCATCAACGAAACGTGGGATTGACCGTTACATTATAATGTTTCTATGTTAGAACTTGCGAGTATGTTCGGAGAGGGGATTCGAACCAGCGACCCTCAGATTGCAAGTCGAGCGTTTAACTATCAGTCCTTACGAGACCTCCAAAGTTTTACATAAATATGCTAAGCGGACAAATTAGATGGATTAATCCATTCAATGTAAGCTTAAATATACGGCATTTTGGAATACGGAACGTTTTCGACGAACATTAAGAAATAATACTTTGCTATTATTGTCAGTGCTATTCTGATAATAATGTTTTAATATATAATTTATTTGTATATTTGTTACACTAGTGCCATCTAGCGGTGCGGACGTAACTAGCAATTGTTTACATATACCTCAGTCTTTGATTGGTATTTAAAAAAACAATAAAAAGTCAAGATGGGCATTATTTCAGATGTTTTAATGATAGTAATATAAACCATTATCAAAATATTTAATTTACATTTTTATTTGATTAAAGTATGATAGAAAAGTTTGAATATGTCGATTATTCGTTACTAAAAGTGATTGTACGAAACATTCTTCCGATAATTAAAAGAAGTCCTGAAAAACATGAGTATCAGATATTTGTATTTGTTTGATAAAACTTGCCCCAATCCCTGAAAGGAAGAACCACAAATCCTAATGTATTCATTCGCTAACTGTTCGTGTTTCCTACATTAGGGGTTCACTAATTATAGCTGAAGTACCTGATGATGAATACATAATGTTGTAACCATATACATACTCTGGTTATCCGATAATAAAGAAAATTTTCTTTCTTTGTTATGGTTACAATACACATCAAATCATGCGTACCTTTTATGAGTAACAAAAAATATTCAAATTCACACAAATATTCATTAATAATTTGCTTTGTTTTTATTTTCAAGGAAATCCAAAACAGTAAATACTTTTTTCTCTGTTACAAACACTAGTAAGTAAATTTTTAGTTTATTAATGAGGACGATACGTTTTCAATTTAGCAAAAATACTTTCGTACCCTGTAGTGCAAGCCTGTTTAGAGTAATCACATGAAGTGCCACTAGGACAACAAAAATTAGAATCGCCGCAGCAAACAGCGTTAGTCGCAGGACAACACACGAAGGTTTCGACCGAGTGAGGGCAGCACGTGTGACCATCAGAGCAAGTGAATATAGATCCACAGTTTACATCAGCTTGAAAAGAAATATATATATATATATCTTAAAAAATAAAGCTAACAAAATTAATTCTTAATAATGACCACAAAAATTATTTATCTATATAGATATGTCCCAAAAATGTTTAAAACGGTAATAAAAATGTCTTATTTACTATTTTCTATGTATGATAATTATTAACGACGTTTATATCAAGCACAACAGAATCCTTTTGAGTCTATGAAATGCAAAAAATACAGCACAAAACCCTTGTATACAGATATAATTGTTACATATAAATATCTACGTAAATCACACCGATGGAAAATAAAGAAGTTAGTTAAAGCTGAGAAAGCACATATAATTCATCCTATTCAACATATACTATTTTTTATTAAGTCTAGAAGAAACGACATCTGTGGAAAGTTTGTTTACACTAAAACTATAAATAAAAAGACAAGATACTGATTATTTTATTAATAGTAATTTCGTCTAGAATGTTTAAAAATATTAATACGTACATAAAAATTAAAGTTTCTAAGATCAGTTAAAAACAGAAAAGAACCATTTCCTTATCAACAAAGTTACCTGTCCAGGTAATTGTTAAACTTAGCAGCGAGCTATTTCTTTCTACTCCATGAAATAGAACAAAACTTTGAAGAAAGAAAAAAAATCATACTAAAACATTAATATCTTTATACCAGTGTGACTTTGTGAGTTGTGGTATCCACACTTCAATTATAAATAAAGTACCTTAGAATAAATTTATCAGCAAAAAAACTCTTGAATATTTTTTTTATTTGTGTAGAAACTTGATATAAGTAGACTACAACTTACCATAGCAAAATGCAACAGAAAGTACAAAACAGATAACCACCAAACCGGCCTTCATCTGTTACAAGAAAGATTGATTATGGTTAAAAGAAACGGTTTGTTGTAAAATTTCAAACATTTTATTATGCACGTATTATACGTGTGCATCAGTTTCAATAATCAATGGATTATGTAGTACTTACTCGAGTGTTTACTTTTAACATAGGCTTAGTTTTAATAGTAAAATTCACACGCATATAATGCGAGAGGGATCACAGGGGCCTGTACTCTCTTGCCTCCCCTCCACGAGAATAGTATTGACATTACTTTTTGTTATATTTCTTCTTTATGTTTTCTCTTTTCAGTTAAGCTACACAAGATTTGTTTGTTTTCGGATATCCGCAAAGCTACTCAAGGGCTATCTGCGTTAGCTGTTTTTAATTTTGAACTGATAGACTAGTAGAAAGGCATTTAATCAATAGAACCGACCACCAACTCTTGGACTACTCTTGTCTAAACAAAAACTGGGATTTGACCGTCGCCCTTTTAATGCATCCTTTGGTCAAAGTGCGAATCGCTATTTTTGTTTTTCTGCAGTATCAGGTCGCGAATAATAGATCTAACCACTGAGACACGCTCGCACAATTACACAACGGATTTATTTCCATTATAATATCCTACATTAATTCACCTTGTACGTCCAGCTAACTCACCCCCACAGTTCTGTAGATAGCAATACCAAACTTAACAAACGGACTCGGAATGAATCAGGGGGTGTCCTTATCTATATGGTGTATCCCCCTGTTAATTAAGAGGGGCTGAAACACACCCTGAAGGTCACTAAAGCATGATGGGAGCTACAATTAGGTTTTTCAAGATCTCTGAACCCGAATCCAGCATCGAATTTTGTGCTTATGGTACTTTCCGAATTCCAGAGGCACCATATTTGAAAGTATGCTCATACTCCCATTTACATGCTAGTGGGACCGAACATGACACTCGTGCTCGGGTATAACGAGCGCGTGTTTTAACCGATTTTTAAATTGGGGTTAATGGAAGAGCTTGATCAGTACGTTGGGGCCTCTGTGAATCATGGGGGAGGATATTGAAACCCACAGCGGAGCGCGGATATTTTATGATCGTCAATATAACACATTAAAACTACGGGAGCAAGGATGAGAAATATATTTGTGTATTTGAAGCATTAGGAGATATATTTGAAAATGATACCTTATACTTTTAAACGTTATGTGGAGGGTGATGGTCATTACACCGGTAAACGTCAAGTACTATAGAATGTGGGAAGTTAAGTAAGTCATTATTTGTTTAATCACTTTATAAGACTTGTGCCTGTGTCTTTAAGGGCCAGAATAACGTGTGTAGCATGGAGGGCTATTACATGTTTCCTATTCCCTTTAGTTAATATATATATTTTTTCAAAATTCCTATTGATATCAAGTATTGAATCGTAATATAGAATGTCGATCAAGGGAACCACTAAGTTCCTCACGCCCTAGTTACTCACGGAACTGGGTCAGTCAACTAAGGCGTCAGACTTTCTCTTGGGAAAGATTGCTATAAAGTAGAGCTTGCTGCGTAGAAACAGACAGAAATATTTTCTAAAGACAAGTTAGATTATAACATCCCTTATTTTGAAGTATGAGTGACCATCAGTCACGTGGAGAGCACTTGCGTCGTGAGAAGAATGGTATTGTTGTTTTTCTTATCTCAGATCTTAACAGATTTAAACGATTTGCTAGTTTTTCAGTAAAGGCGCCACGCTAAAACTCGACTATGATACCGATCGTTATTTACGTAGTGAAGATTGTCTGGTGTATTTTTCTCTGTGCGTGTGTCAAAGTCAGTCGAGTTCAGAGAAAATGATGTTACTGCAAAATATTTCTGGAGAGCGTCCAGTTATTCTGCGGTTCCTACCCAACTATTCTAAAACGAATCTGAAAATACCACACGTGATTCAACTCAGAACAATCAGAGAGATTTCATACCCTCGCTCCGCCGTTCCTTTTCTAGATTGCATGCGTTCATATTGGACAACGTAAAATTTCACTTTCGAAAATTCAGAAAATTATTCTCGTATCCGGAATGATCAATGATCCGGATCATTTTTTGTAGTGTGATGAGGAGTTTCAACCTTAACGTGCCCATGGAATTTGGTATAAATCCGATCACACTTTACAGAGTTATTAACCGAAAACCGCGAATATGCCCTATCTCTCCATTATAAAAAATGCTTCAAAGTGATCCATAATCCGGATGTGGATCCGGACTAAATTTGAGGAGGACGAATCCATGCTTACTTCCTGTCTTGTGTAAAATTTTCCTTTACATCGCGCGGAAACCAGACACACACGCACGAACCGGATTGCAATATTCTCGCAGGGCGAGGGTAAAAATTGTATTTGTTTTGTGCTAACAAATAAGCATTAAGTGAATGTGAGCCTGTATGAATTATTTTTGCTTTTAAGGAACATTTTTGCGTAAATATTGCAATATATTTTTCATTAAAAAAAAACGGCATTACAGCAATAAGCACACGTCTACTGAAGTTATAATTAAATAATTAGAACCTGATCAACGACATTTATACTCCAATATTTGACGCCCTCCCAGTGGCTCAGCAGTAGTTCTACGGAATTATGATGCAAATAATTGGGTCTCGATACCTGTGTTGGGCTAATCACAGATAGCCCACTGTGCAGTTTTGTGCTTAATAAGAGTTAAACTAAACCAATATTGGACGTTTATATATCTAGAGAAATCTACCCCCCTCCCGCAAAAAAACTCTTAAAACCGGGAGGGCTCATTTCAAAACATATACCATAATGCTTTAAACTAACAATACCTTTCTCTGCGCCCCCAAGTGGTACAGCGGCATGTCTGCGGACTTAGAATGCTAGAATTCTGGTTTCGATACTCGTGGTGGGAAGAGCACAGATTGCCTATTGTGTAGTTTTGTGCTTAATTACAAACAAACAAACAAATCTTTCTCTGCCAATGAAAAATCCTAGTTATGGGATTGGAGATGGTAGTGAAAATAGCAATGGACCTAACAATTTCTGCTTCTGTCTCAATTGTTCACCCTCCAATACTGCACCCAAAGAAGAGCTTCGATAAGTGAAGATCATAGGATGCCATTTGAAACCAAAAGTTCACGTGACGTCATAGTTCTATAACTGAATGCTATAGGGTGTGGAGTATCCACTGAAACTGGATGTTCACGTGAAGTCATAGTTCCACAGAATGGTAACAGAGAGTGGATAGTTTCAAAGTGTATCACTAGAGTGGATAGTTCCAATTTGTGTTACTAGGGGGCGGATATTTTGGACTTACAAATTTTTGTCGATACTTTAATAAGAAATATACCTTGACTTTAATTTATAGGTTAACACAGAAAAGGTTCTATACGTAAGTTAAAGTAAGTTAAATATATTAAACTGTGACTGGTGCCTCGCAAGATTGCTCTCAACTGATCTTTAGAAAACTGTTTAACATAACAGTTACTATATTTAGTTGGATTAAAATTAAAGTAGCGTATGAATATTTAGACTTTATATTAACACAAAAAATAGTCCTTTTCAAAACTACGTAGATTGTTAATTAAACTAACATATGTATCATCACATTAGTAAATTTCTCTACATAAATATTTAAACTAAATAATTATTTTACTTATTCAAACACTTTATTTATTATTGCAAGTTGGACATGACTGTCCATTTTTGTTTTAACATACAGTTTTAGACAATTTTTTTAAATGGCATATATATTTAGAATTTGAATGTTCTAAGTTAACATGGAAAACTGTCCTCTCAGTACATTGTAAATTAAACAAATATATATATAGCCATGAAGTACGCTATAACAAAAAATTAAACTTTAATAAATGAAATATCAATTTTTACGTATTCAGAATGAAAAAAATGCGGGTTCGAATCCCTTTCAGCAGTGAGGGCGTTATAATGTCACAGTCAATCCCAGTATTTGTTGGTAAAAGAGTAGCCAAATGGTGGGTGGTGGTGATGACTAGCTGCCTTCCCTCTAGTCTTTCACTGCTAAATTAGGGACGGCTAGCCAGTGGTGGGATTCAAATATTTTAACAACAG